TGGCTTCTAAAAGGTCTAAAAATCAGTTGTACAAAGCAAATAAGTACATATAATCAATTATTTGAGTATTTTTGTCTTTTGCTACTTGATGCTTCCACTTCCCTACATCTATCTGACACTTATAGTTACTTTTAAGATCAAGGTTTTACGCAACCGATAATATCCTAAACCTGTGAAAATATAACATATTTAGTCCCTAAAGATTAACAAATGATTTCCAACCTTTCTTCTGCAAAAGCAGTTGCAGCTATGTGCTTTTACTTAATTAGAATTTTTCATGCAGGACTTTAACTTAAAGTGGGGTATTTTCACATTAGTATATTTGTGCCTTAACTTAAGTAAAATCTGAACACTTCTACATGTAAAGACTTGATAATAAATGTGTGTGTTTGTGTGTTTAGTTGGAAGACGCTCAGAGTAAAAGACAGGAGAGACTACTGGAGAAGCACAAGGACATCCGCCAGCAAATCCTGGATGAAAGGCCAAAGGTGAGACTTTTATTGAAAACACGGTTAACTAGTGACTGAAATCTTTATTATAGATGCTCTATTAAGAGTTTTTATCCAAACGTCTCCTGCTCTGTTGCATGACATCATCCATCATCAGGAGCTCAGCAGGCAGTCTGTACACAAAAATAATCATCTTTCAAAAATTAGACTCTTGAAAAAACAAATTAGTAGCTAGTCTGTGATGATTCTCAGTCATCCAGGTCATGGTTATTCTTGTAGATTAATAGTAGGAACTGGACTTGCCTGAGATCCTTGAAGACGTTCCACCTCTCATCAGTTCTGACTGACTAGTCGGGAGTTCCAGATACTCATATCCTAAAGGAGCCGTTAACACCTGAGTTTCAATTAGGGCTTTGTTGCTCCTCCCCCTCGTTATGTGTGTCGTTAGTGCTCCCACTGGGGTTCATTAGGGTCTTTTGTGGCTATAGGTGTGAATGCAGTTTAATCTTCCTGGGGAGAGATCTTAGGACTGAATTGTAAACAGGTGAGAGATCATGCCTCAGACCTCTGGTGAGGGATGGTTTTTCCAGTGTGGCATAGATGACTTCTTTCACCCCTCTCTCAAACCGTCTGTCCTCCCTGCAGGCCAAAATCTGTACGTTGTTGTCTTCGAATGAGCGTCCTTTGTCCTTACGATGCAGGTGGACCGCTGAGTCCTGTCCTGAGGAACTGGCTCTTCTGTGCTGAGACAAAACAACCGCTCCACAAGCGCATGGCTCAGCACAGAAGAGGCAGCTCCTCAGGACAGGACTCAGCAGTCCACCTGCATCTTATCCAAATGAAACCAAAACTCAGGTGTTAATGGCTCCTTTAGGATAGAAGTATCTGGATGTCCCAACTAGTCAGTCAGAACCGATGAAGCCTCTTAGATGAGAGGTGGAACGTCTTCAAAGAACTTAAGCAAGTCCAGTTGCTACGATTAAACTGCAAGAAAAAGTTAGTAACTAGTCCTACGTCTCATCTGTAGCTTGTGCGACTGCAAGCGACATTAAACAGATTTTCTAAACATAAAGACTTTTGTTTATTGAACAATATAACAATAAGAATGAGAATAATCTTCATGTATAAAGTACTTTAAAAGGCAGTGAAATAAAACAAACCTTATTTAAAGAAATAAAAGGCAGCGCAAAGGACAATGTACCTCCAGTAACACCAGGAAAAGCTCTCTGATTAAAAGTATGTTTAAAGAAGAGACTTAAAAGAGGTCACCGACTCAGCCGACCTGATTTTCTCAGGCAGATTGCTCCGGAGCCTCGGGGCCCCGACTGCAAACACTCTGTTCCCCTTTCTTTAGTTTTCAGTCGGGCCCCTGGAACTGGAATACAGGTCCTATAAAGAGTAAATGCAGTCGTACATAGTGATTTTACACAGATTGAATCTTGGTTTTTTTTTTTTTTGGGGGGCTATTTTAATGTGTTGCATGGAGGAAAATAACTCTAAGTAACAAAAAACATGGATGTTGTCCTTTAACCAAATGTAATTGAACACGTTATCCACTAGGTGGCGATGCAGGCCAGGTTTAGAAAGATGCTGCACTGTGTAAAAAAAAATCTGGTGGACATTGTGGAGGAAGAAGATTGTTGCAGCTTCTTATGACAATATATATATTTGGTTTGTGACCCCATGAATCTTAGTGCTGATATCAGAGTTTATGTATATAGTATCACTAAACTTTGATCAAGTTTCTTTTGTTTTTCCTGGCTGTTAACGCCATCTCATAGTTCTGTACATGGGTTTGCAGTGAGGTTGATGCTCCAGTGTGTTCATGGGAGTTTTAGCATGTTTGCTGTTCTTCGCACAGCTCCCAACCTTGTCATTGTCACTATCTTTGTAGGACGATTGTGCAGCTGCAGCTCATGGTAAGACCGACGTTGCATCCTGGTGTTGAGCACTAATATAGTCTGAGTGTGGCAGCATTAATACGCAAGCTTCTGAACGCCTGAGCGGCAACAAGTAACGTGCAATTGCTGAGAGCCGCCAAACTTTGCTGTGAAGCAGAACGCTTCTCCGAACGTGTTAATTATTGCAGCATTTTAGCTGTAATCTGCGCAACACGGCAGCATAATGTCGGAAGAGGCGGCAGATTGTCCTCAGCGTGGCGAGATCACACCCCAGTCGTGTGCTCGAATTTAATCTCCCCTGTCGATGTGTCCTTGGGCGAGATCCTCAATACCAGTCGGAGAGTAAATTAGAAAGAAGAACCTCTGCCTTTTGGGATATTAATAAGGCATAAAAATCTATTTAACACCATATTTTATTTAAAGCAAACATGTTTATGGCACATTAACACATAGTTCCCTTCATAGACTCTCTAAACCCTATTTGGAGATAAAATATTAATCACGATTTCAACTTCCCACAATTAAACGAGCATTATTGATTGTTTTGACATTTAAAATGCTCCGCTCATTGGAAACAGCCCCTGTAGATGAACCTACTTGGTTTCATTTGGGGTAAATATGACGCTAGAACGCATTATTTTGCTTTTTCTTGAGTCATTTTTGGTCTCACCTGTGTGTGTTTTGTGTGCGTTGCAGTTACTGAGTGGAGACTAGAGGCTTCTCTGTGCACAGTTGACTCGCTAGCATCCAGTGTAGCCTGCATGTGAGGCGTTTAGGGAACATCGGTAAATTGTAGCGTCTATGGATAAGAAAATCTTCAGGAAAGGAGGCGTTCTGGGTACAATTTTATTTCTATTTTGCCTCGAGGAGATGCTCTGAATTAAGATTATTTTTATCTTTATCTTATTTTGATGCAAATTAGTGCATTAGCGGCAGTGCTCTGTTTGTACAGATGTGAAATTGCAACAAGAAGTCAATATTAATCATAAATAATGGTGATTATCTTTTTAGTCATATTTGTGCAGCCCTAGTTGTCTCTCATCGAAGGTATTTCTAACATGAACGCTCTGTGCTTCTCATGCCGGTTTTCATGATCGTAACACGACTTGTTGTGTTGTACATCCACTGAATGCAAATGTTCTGTTCGTTTGATTTGTCTCTATGATTTTGGCAAAGTGTTTTAGTCTGATGCAGTGTAAACTGCCAGCACAATCGAGATTACTCCAGTTTGCCAAGGACATGCTCTGATTTGAGCTTCTATCATGTCTTTACTCGTGCTGGGATTTTCCTGCACAGAGGAGATGTTTTAGGAAAATCGCCAACGTCAAAATGCTTAAAATTGAGAATTTAAAAACAAAATCAACCTGTTTTGCTCTTTGGGGTTTCATTTGGTCGATAACGAAAGACATTTTTGGTTATTAAATGCTCAGAAATAACAAGAAAATGTTTAGTTTCACTGACTTGTTGACCTTCATGTACGCGGGCTGATCAGAAGAAAACCTCTCGCTGTCAAACGAAGACCACGGTGTGTTTTTCTAAAGACAGGCATAAATCAGAAGTCTTCTGTTGGAGTCGGCTCCATAACCACCCACACTCAAAGTGACAGCTCCTTGTTCCTCTGAAACCACTCGGTGTGGGAGGTGCAGCTCAGACATGCAGCCCAGCATTCAGTGGGCCGTGCGTTTTCCTCGAAGCTGCAGCAGTTAGGAATGACGCCGACCAGCAGGTGGGGAGTTAAGGAGAGATTGCAGAGTCAGACATGATTGTTTCTGCCTTATAAACAATCTGCTCGGTGCGTGACTCACTCAAGCTTCCATCGTGGTCCTGCGGTGATCATCATTATCTTTATTGTAAATTCTCGCGCTTCTTGTCACTATGAGTCCAATTTCATTGATATGATCTGTGTGAACCAGCGTCTTTAGGGTCTAATCAACACTGAATGCAGCAGGTTTCCTCAGGGAGAAAGCAGGAAAATGATGCTGTTTTTTTTTCCCTCCGTTGATCAGTTTTGTGCTGCAGTCACATTTCATTCTGTTCGCGGCCGTCGTTTCCCCGCAAAATCGGAGCTGATCATCCATCACCAAACCCGCTGTCGCTTCTCTAAATCGCAATCCGGACCGTGGCACATTTAATTCGCCCGAAGAAGGCTATTACATAGTAATCAGCCGTCTCTGTAATATCTTCTCTCACGGAACGACAGTCATCTGCATGCAAAGTAAGCAGATGTCAGAGGCCACAACTCTGGAGACAGTCGGCAGAAGATACGCAGGGTTTTGTTTATTCTAAAAAAAAATCGGGATGCTGAACACGACGCTGGAATAACAGCCACAGATACCGGCTAAGTGGCATTACTGTGAAATCCTGTGACGCACCAAAGTGAGTCGTCCTGTTTTCTTGACCTCAGGAGCCCTCAGGACAGAAATTAAAGGCTGTAATCACTGAAAGCCAGAGGGTGTTCGCTTCTGTCAATACTTCCGACTGTCGTCGTCGATAGTTTTCATACTGTTGGTCTTTACGGCCTCAGTCGACGAGTTTTCATCGATTGTTTACACCAGAATCCTGGTTGTGAGACTTAACCGGGTTTTAATCAGGACATGGTCTTTACATGGAGCTCAGAGACATTTAGTCCTTCATCTCCCCGTAAACATGCCACCAGTATCCTGCACTGATGTTTTTACATCAACAATTAACTGTTATTCTACCGATTTTCCATGTTTTAGTAGAATAATATATAATTTAGTATTTTAAAAGTATTAACTTACATGCTAACGATAAAACAACAGGCCAGAATAATAAAAGCTCACAATATATATATCTGTATGTTTACGAATGATAATTCATTCTTTTACCATATTTGACAATAAAATTTGTGTAATTACTTTCTAAACAACTTACTGTTATTTTATTTATTTTCCCTGTTTTGTTAAATTAAAAATAATAATATGTAAAGTTGCAGAAAAAAAAATATTCTCAGTAATTTTTACACATGAAAGTTTGTTCATTTACCATGTAACAGTTTAAATATAAATCAAAAATCTAAACTTATTTAAATCTGCACAAAAAAATGTGTTATTTGAAAGAAGAGTTAATTATGTTAAGGAGTGCAAAACGGTTATTTTATTGTTTTTATTTGCAAAAAAACTGCCTAAACTATTGTTCACATCAAAAACAATCTTTTAAAATGTATGACCATTAAATGACAATATTTTGCTGTTACTAAACCAGATAAAAATGTAAATATTTCACAGATATTTGCTGTTATTTTCACTGTATTTACAGTCTTTGAACATTACAATATTCCACCTTATATTAAAAAAAATATTTGCAGTGTTTTTACAGATTTTATTTCATTTTTTTTTAAACCGTGTGATTACTGATAACTGCAGGCTGTTAGCTGTGACGTTTACAACCACAAACCAGCGGTCTAGCCTGACGTTCCCGTGACTGTTAGCGTAACCTTACATTCATTTGACTGTGGCTATTGAAAGTTTAACCACTTTGATTTATGGCGGCCTCGGTGCTATTATTAAATGATAAATTTGCATTACAAATTTGGCTTATCCCCCGCGAGAGGAAATACTAAACATGTTCTAAACATAGAACAAGGGAGCAGTGATTGAGGAAACGATTGAAGATATGACAACCCTTACTCGACCACGACCGGTAGGATAAGGTTGTTATGACGGGCTTCAGTGACACTGGGTGGAGGGAAAGTTTCCATATGAGCGCAGCATCATTTTACTGGCCGTGTGACACAACCGAACCATTCATGAGACCAGAGGAAACAACAGCACCTGGTACATAATTTAGCTGAAGGAGCACCTGAGCAGGTAGCAAGCAGCGGTCAGAAACTAGGAAAAGATGCATACATGCAATAGTACTCTGGTTTCTTTGAGAGCACTTTAGCGAGAATAATCCGGGTCCTTATAAGCAGGGTGAGGGTTTATTCACTGAGAAATTGTGTTTACGCAGATACAAAAATAGGATACCACTGAAACCTGATCATCAGGGAGATACTCAGGTCTTTGTAAACTAGACGCTTCATCAACAGCAACAAGATCGATTCATCTCAGCTCACCAGAGCATGTGCTTGAAATGTTCTCATCAGAAACTATAGCTATTTAAAATGGTACCTCTGAAGTTTTAGTTGACATATCAAATACTTTTAAGAGATCATTTTCCAGTTTCCTGGGGCCCCCTTCCGGCTTTTTTTGTTGGTTGGGCTTTTCATTGGTTGTTTCGTTTTTTTTTGTTTTTTCACTTCCTTCTTTTTTTAGGTTTTTTTGTTTTTTTTTGCCATTTTTGCGGTTTTTGATTCGTTTGCTTGTTTTTAATTACGGGGGAAATTTTCATTTTTTTTTCTTGATTGTTTCTTGAATTTTTTTGGTTCAATTTTTTTTTCTTTTTGTTTTAAAAAAACGTTGTTGATTTTGGTTCATTGGGCATTTTTGCAAACTTTTCCCAGGTTAAATTTTCGGCCTTTTTTTTTTAACCTTCCTTTTTTTTTGTTTTAAAAAATGCAAGCAAATCAGAAATGACTGAGCAGAAGCAGCTCTCAAAACTTGATGATTTGAGATGGAGTGACCCCATATATGAAAGTTATGGAAGAATTTTAAGTTCAGTTGCATGAACAAACTCCCAGGCGTGCTTCCTCGCCGGCTCATCACAGCCTGATAATGGAGGCCCCTCACCCTGCATTGCTCTCTCCTTGGCTCCCATGTAGGCCTCAGAGGGCAGCGCAGGGTGAAGGGGCTCCATTACGAAGGTATAATAAGCCTCTCTGGTGGAGGCTGCGGCCAGCAGGGATTAAAGAATGCCCTTGCGAACGATGTATTCCCGCCGGCCTTGTCGGGTTGACGGGCTTGATGTAGGGGTGCAGGAGGAGGCCGACTGCCCCGCCACTCAGAACCTTAGCTTTAGCATGTTTTTCTATTTGCTTTTTTAATTTAATGTGTAGACAGATGAGATTTATTTGTGTTTAAATGTATTTTTTGCTGTGTTAATGTTACAGTTATTAC